CGTCATCAGTCAGTCATACCCAACCCGAAGCGTGGGTCACTTGAGATACCAATTAATAGGCATAATAAAGAAGAAGTTGACAAGATGAGAGGCCGAACCGGAGCAATCTGACGAGCAACGCTACCCATCACACCAAGAATCTCCCAGTCTTAAAAAGTAGTTTCTTCTTCTTACACAATGAGGCTTATCTACCTTGTTTGCTCTAGCAAACCATTGAATCAGTATGTACGCAATACATTTAATTTATTGAGTTCTGACGTCAACAGCTACCTTGAGAATATTGAGAAATATTTCGAGCAGAGACGACAGAAAGTACGACGATGCCATCGTAACCAGCCAGGCTGGAAGGACCTTAGATTGCCACTTGGATACATTTATCCGTTGAAGTTGCCGCTCTAACAGTTGAACCACGGGTCCGCGCCCCGTCGATTGTTTGGAAGAGCGCGTCTCTACTTAGGGGACGCTGATCAGCGATATAGGCCTGTTTATTTGTACTTTTAGATGCTTGTGCCTCCGGTTCATTGCTTCACTATCTCACCTGTCTTACAATCCCAACGACAGACAGACCGGCTCGAACAGTCGACTGCCTGGCTTAGAGGGCTGCCAACTGACGGGATAACTCGGACCTCGTGACCAGTACTGCGTGTATGTGGGGGGTAAATGGCTCGAAGAAGGAGAACCGGGCTCCAGGGCTCCTTCTGGATGTGACCTCCATGTCACCCCCACGAAAGTGACATTTGAGTCGCTCCCTTGTTTCTGGTACATTGTGCGTAGATGAGAGATCGTGTGTGGCGCGTATGAACGGGTTGTTTAGCTCTTTTAACCACTGCACCGAGCCTCCGCCCGGTTGTCCTGAATCCGTCTTGCCTAGGTGGGTGAGGGAGGAGAGAGTGCGGCAGATGCCGCGCAAGTCTGCTATCAATATGACGCACAAGTCACTGTCCTGCGCCCACCACTCTGTGCGGCACACGGTGGGCATTGTCGCGTGCAACTGTCGAACTGTCACCTCAACCATTAGATGTAATGTGCCAACCTATAACCTGTGCACCCTGGGTGGACATAACGTTCCCATCTCGGCAGCCTAAACTGTTTTTATCCAGCCATAAAGCAAAAACCGGCGTGAACAGCTGCCTCACCTCACAAAACAAAATTCGTGTCATACATTGCTACTTACAAAGTGACAGTGGCGTGAATTTTGTGCGTAAAACAAATACACAGCAAGCATTGTCATGCCTTCAGTTTGCTGCTTCGCCAGGTGTGATGACTGGTGACAAGTGGTGGGTAATATCGACCACCACATTACCAACAAAGACAGTGGAACTTTTTATGTTTCCTGCCCACTTCACCGGTTGACTTTCACAGAAGCCTGCGCAGGACATTGCCACAAAACTGGACTGGCATTTCATACGCACTCCTCTCTGTTCGCACCCCGCGCATAAGACCAAGGGAAGTTCCTCAATCATCCTGACGAATAGGTGGGACGGTCAGGCAAGCTTCCCTTGATTAAAGCAAGATGTTTATAAGCGTTGTTTTCGTCCTGTTCAGACGCCAACAACTTCGCAGGTCCACAGCCATTCTTGTCGCTACTTTTGAGAATCGGTTCGTGCAGGATCACTGAGTATGCCCTCGGTAGGACAGTTCACTTATCTGAATCGGCAGTCGGCAAGCCAGTCGTTCCTGCACTCATTCCTGTAAGAGCTGGCCACCAGTCGGCTGTGTGCTCACACATAAAAGGACTGACTACTCAGCTTCGCCTCCCTGTCCTCTCATTATAAAATGTACCAGTGTTGTCACGTGTTATTCTTCGGCAACTAAAAGATGGCTTTTTGAAATGTGCTGTGCTGCCAAAAGGGACATGGTATTGTGGCCGAGTACAGCAAGAAGTATGGCGTCGTCTCTGGGGAAATGTGCGTGAGTACCAGCCTCACGCTACTGATTATCAGACTGATGACACGACAGTCAAACACGGGAATAGGTATCCTCCCCCCTCTCCCCGCTACAGGTGGCCCTGTGCTAAATTCCAGGGGTTACGGATTCCAGCGGCATAACACTAGCCCTCAATCTAGCCTTAACCATAAATCAGACCCTCCTACTCCTAGCCTTAACACTAACCCCGACCCTAACCTTACTTGGAAATTAGCCCAAAGCCACCAGGGTACTTACTCTGGTGCCATGCCGGCATGATTATCAAAAACCCGACGTGAACAACGACGAACTACAAGAAGAAACTGAACCTCCCTAACCTCAATCTTCTGACACCCCTTGTGGAGTCCCGCAAATTTCTGTGTCGGGACTAGTCCTCTTCCTTTTGTTTATCCACAACTGTGTGTTTAGGAATTGTTAAAATTCTAGAAAATCATTTTCAATACTGCCGACGAGGCAAACGTCCAATAAAACATCCGTCGACCAATGACTCTTGTCGTCTAATTGAAACAAGTGTACCATACTGCCTCCAGGGAGATAAAAACCAAGTCTCTGGTACGCGTACCTACATAACATTTGAACGGTGGACCACTTCCAGAGTCGGCAGCACTAAAGGAGCTCGGCATTTTGAGGACAACAACTCCAAGACCTCTAACACACCGTTGCGAGGTAGGTAAAGCCATAACTTCAGTCATGTACGATACCAAGCCTGTATTTACAGTTTCCGACGAAGACTGTTTCAAAGTTTTCGGGACGTTTGTAAGGTTGCATTTTAAATGCGCGATCCAGCCCTGGAGACATTGGACGCAGCAGAATTACAACCTACAGTGAGTGACCTATCTCATGAAATGTTGGCTGAAATTCTGAAATGCGTTTTCGATTAAGAAGGATTACTTGGTCGTGGTTGTAATACTGACTATCTTGCGGCATACTCTTATAACATTTCGGACTCGGCAGGATGCCGGCTTTTAAATACACTTCTTTTCAATCTCCTGTAGAAAGCGTACTCGGTAAAAAATGGCTACTTAAGTAGCATGCATTTTTCCCATTGATTTTCGATGGTCTTGCAAATTCAAATATATTTTATAGAAACCATAAATAAAAATATGCTTTCTCTTAGTCAATCAATAGAGAATCATGCCTTCTTTATATTTTATACTTAAGGAAGAATTATAATTAAGTTTTAAAAAAATTTCTAATTATGAGACTTTTTAAGACCGCGAAATGTCAATTTACATAGCATAGTACCTGGCCGTTTACCACTGATTCTCATGAAATGTACAACATGGTACGCATCCATTGCAAAATTTTATGGACTCTGTATGATATCTCTTTAATGGCATAGAAAAATATATGATTTTCTTTACGCGAACGCATGCACCTTGCAGAATGAAATTACTAAACGCTAATGTAACGAATGATCAGGCTCCAAATTATTCGGCAATTGGAAAACTTTTTTAAAACCTAATTATAATTCTTCCTGATCATTTGTTGCATTAGCGCTTAGTGATTATATTCTACAAGGTGCATGCGTTCCGCGTAAAGAAAATCCCATACTTTTCTATGTCATTAAAGAGATATCATACAGGGTCCATAAAATTTTGCAATGGATGCGGATCACGTTGTTCATTTCATGAGAAGCAGTGGTAAACGTCCAGGTACGATGCTATGTGAATGGACATATCGCGGTCATAAAAAGTCTCATAATTAGAAACTTTTTTAAAACCTAATTATACTCCTTCCTTAAGTATAAACTACAAAGAAGACGTGATTTTTTATTGATTGCCTAAAAGAAAGCATATCTTTGTTTATGGTTTCTATCAAATATATTTGAATTTCCAAGACTATCGAAAATCAATGGGAAAAATGCATGCTACTTAAGTAGCCATTTTTTACCGAGTACGCTTTCTACAGGAGATTGAAAAGAAGTGTATTTAAAAGCCGGCATCCTGCCGAGTCCGAAATGTTATAAAAGTATGCCGCAAGATAGTCAGTATTACAACCGCGACCAAGTAATCCTTCCTAATCGAAAACGCATTTCAGAATTTCAGCCAACATTTCATGAGATAGGTCATTCACTGTACTCGAAGGTCTTGAGAGGCGAGGCATACGCGATCCGCTGACAAACCCTAATCTGTATCCTCTGAGTTATTTCGAAAGTTCCATCGTCCTGTCCGACGATGTCCACCGTGTGCTCCACAGCAAAATGAATGCGGGAATGGTGACTTTGTGTGAATTAGTTTGTTACGGTAGTAGACTTGCACAGCATCCACCACACCCTCTCTTCCCCGCCTGGGCTCCGGGTCAAGAAGACCGAAGGCGGGAGGCGGTGGAGGTGGCTGGCGCGGCCGGACCCGCAACTAGACGTACTGCCACACCCCCTGGTCCACAACAAATACCTGACCGGGATTTTGACCAGCAAGAATGAGAAAGGATGACATAAATTACAGGCAACTGCATGCGACTTGATACGAACCTCGTGCGTGTTTTTGGACCGAGCCCTCTAGTGTGGCGACGTTTTTCTACTCGCTTCTTCAGCGAACTTCCAAGGACATCCACTCAAACTACATTTGCCTCGAGGAAGGCTGTCCGTAAGAAAGTATTTTTTTACAAGCCATGTGGAGCAACCATGGAATAGGCCCTCCGTCTTTTCTCAATCTGTGGAGAAATTCAAACACCGTCCTGACAGACACAACCCACAACAGCAAGCGGGTTATGTGACTACGTAATCTTTAAAAAACCATATGTATTTGTGTGAAGCTAAGTCTTTTTTCACTCGGCAGTGCAATTTCCTTGCATTATCAATAACTCTTCTACAATTGTGTAATGATTTGCCGTACTGACAAGACAGGTAGTAACTAAAAGCCCAGACACGTGTGTTTCGCCGATCTTGTGCCGCTGCCTGACGCAGATGCAAGATGTTCGGCTCATCGGTGAGTCCCCCAGTCTTCCCGCGTGTTTTCTGGTATATGGAATCCAGTGTCACCTTGTCTTGTTTAATTTCCGAGGGAATTCATGCGCGAACTTGGAGTTGTATGTGAAAAATAGGGGAGTTCAAGGGCGAAAGCCCATTTTTCTTAAATACACTGAACTGGACTTGCCTGGGGGACATCCTGTTCTAGAGGAAAGTCCTTCATCTCCTGACCACTGCCCTCTACTCCCTCGCCATCAATGTCGAGGGGCAGGAGGGTGGAGGGCGAGACAAGGGTGGCGGTTGAACAAAGAGACGTCCATTGCATCGAGGAGGGCGCGAGGAGGCCCGGTGTCCGGGCCTGTTTTGGCCGGCTGGGCGGAGTCGGGGCCGGGCGCTTCTGGCCTGCACCATTGACAGGGCTTTTCTTGCAGGAACGCCTTTTTGGTAGCCATATTACCGGCAGGCCAGTTATCTTGGCAGCCTCAGCAAGGAGGCCACCGAGCTTGTTCTTGCCCCAACTGTGCTCTGTGAACCAAGGGCCCGGCCCCTCGAAGACACCCCGTTCGTCAGTCTTGTTGAAGGTAAAGGATTTGGGCTGTAGGAAAAGCGGAAAGATCAGGAATTCTGAACTTATACTCGAAAAGGCAACATGGTGGGAGAGGGCAAATTTTGAAGAAAAACGATCGCTCGAACAAGGACTTTGCTCGTCTGACGTTTCGGACTCTCACTTGAATCCATCATCAGAAACAGTGGCAGAGAAAGGTGACTCATGTACAGGAAGTTGAAGTATTTATAGGATGAAGTCGCAATGCTACCGCATACCTATAGTAATTAAGCGCGCTCCCTTTCGTCAAGAATTGTTGCCCTTTGGTGCGCTCATTGGTTGATCGCCGACATGCAAGTTGTTAATTGCTGAAATCCGATCACCCGTGTTGGGTGCTGGCGTGATGATTGCTCGGTCATCTGACTCACCGGCTTGCGCGCTCCCCGAGTCGTCAATTACTTTGGCCAGCCTATGCCTCAGCACGGACTATGGAGTGGGAATGTCGTTGCACTTGTTTATAGACTGAGGTCCCATGGACCATGACTCAAGCAACTCGCGGCTCACACGATTATCCCCTCTCTCGAGAATTTCGGCTTCGAAAACCAAAACTATTGCCTAATTTGTCAATTAATACAACTGGTTGCCGAAATCAACAAAGGAGGTGCTTAATAGGAACCACCTAACAACGTTCGATGAAGTGCTTGTGACCCATCTGGTAGACCCCAGTGGTGGACCGACTGCGCCAGGTGCGTCTGTGCGCAGGTTTGTGTTTCCGGTCCCAGCTGGTGGTCAGGGTTATGGTTGGCTGAATGAAGGCCACCAAGCCCGAAACAGTGCTGTATCAATCTACCCGCATTCTCTGTCGTATCCGCTCTGCTATCATAGCTTGGCCGACTTCGGCCTGGTAGGTGGTTGCCTGTTCATGACCCCTATCGCCCATACGAAGCTTGTGTGCTTCGGGAAGCCAATGGATCGGTGTGCGCCCATTCCTGAGTGAATATATATATAAAACCTGACTGTCCGGCCAATTATTGTGGTATGACCGACAAAAGATTAAAGTCGCGCATGCATGAGCATTCTCTTGCTGTAAAGCGAAGAGATGTACGATCACATGTTGCTGTGCATATCCTCGAAAATAACCATCAATTCGGCTTCGACAAGGCAGAAGTAATCGGCCGAGCTGAAAGCAAAATGGCGAGAGAGATAATCGAAGCCTGGCAATCAAACGACAACTCCATCAACCGTAGGATCGACCTACCAACGCCATATGAGGCCGTCAGACACCACTTAGGCAGGAAGCGAGGGCCAATGGGAAGAGAGAACAATGGGCTTATCAATAGTGAGTAAGAAAGGCTTATTTAAACCTTGTATTCCCACTTTTAATCTATCTCCGATGATGCGCTCAAGTATGAGTGTGACTCTCCACGCGTGACGATCCGCGGCAGCAGATGTGGACAGTTCAACCCATTCCCTTCGTCAACGACGGAGACCGAATACCGAAGGCCCAAAAACCACCTTCACGTCTTGACGAACTGTGTCGAACCAGGTTTTGAGTTGACCCCCTCTTCGTCGCCTCCAATGCGGTAACGGTGCCGGGTCGTAGGCAATAACACTGAGCTCCTAAGGTGGACGACGAAGAACATGCTCATACCACCTTAGTCGTCTTTCTTGGATGGTCTGGGTTACCCTTGCTATGTTGTCGCAGCGGGTGCGGACTGTCTCATTTGAGACGAAGGCGGTGTACTTCACTCGAAGGATGGTCCTCAAGCAGTGTTGGTCAAACACCTCCAGTTTTCGCCCGTCCTCCACGCGCACAGCCCAGCATTCACAACCATAAAGAGGACAGACCAGACAGTCGCACAGTACATGCGAATATTAGTGGCGATGGGGAGGTCGCGTCGGATCAATAGACATTTTCGAAGGCCTGAGAAAACCCGTCAGGCAGCATCAATTCGAGAGACCATGTCAACCTTACTCTGGTCATTAGACAGCAGACCCGTCAGAGGTATTTAAAACGGTCTACTTCTTCAAATTGACAGCCATAAATCCTGTGGCGACCAAGCGGTGATGGTGTATGCTCAGTGCGCCACAACTTCAGGCCATATCACCAGTTGTTAAAGGCGGGACGCCGGTTGGGTAGAAGATTTTATTTATTCTGTACAGAAGGATAGGGGAAAGTTGGCAACCGGACGAGGGTTTGCCCGGCGCCGCGGAGGCGGCGTCCGCGAGAGCGACGAGCCGTGTGTCACCGAAGGTGGCCGCTGCAAAAGTGTCGTGGCAGACAGTGAATTGCAACGAGACAAATCGAAGCCGGGCAGACGTGCGTGCCATAGCAGGCTGTCACAAGGGCGTAGGTGAGGCGATTGCGAGAGGCGCGACGTTGCCATTATGGCTGTCCACTGGGGTGTAGGGGTGTCAGCGGTGGGTTCACGTGATGGTCGTGGTGGTCGCTCACTTGCTTGCAGGTGAGACTACGCCTAGCGTTCACTTGCTGGCACTCAACTCTCACCTGTGGCTCCACGTAGCTGGGCTCTGCTCAGCGGCCACACCCCGAGCAACCGTCTCGATCGGCGGGCTAAACCAGGTGAGGGGGCCCTGTGCGCTGTGCCGTGCGCACAGGGTTTGCGGATTCTGCTGGATGGAAGGTCGGATGGAACCTTGCGTCGGCACCGTCGTGACGTGGTTCGTCACTGCATGCCGCTGGACAGGCGGTGACGGGATGGATCTCCACATCGACATCGCCTTGACGCGCCCACCTACGCCGTCGGAGACCGCGGCTTACGGCGAATTCGAGTCGCTCTCCACTACAACCCGAAGTCGTGGCCCCATAGTGGAGTTCGGCCGTGCCACAACGGCACATGGCAGCCCTATTCAGGGATGGCACTGTCAGCCCCCACGAGGGGAAGGGTCTAAAAAAGGTGGCCTAAACATTACTGGGCACCACGCCGTCTTCAGGCTAGCCAAGGCCGCAGACGTCTAAACATGGTCGAAACAATCAAAATCGAAACAACAACAATACCTATAACAACAACAACAACAACAACAACAACAACAACAACAATACTCGCTCACTTCCTCATCCTACCTCTTCTTTCTCTTCCTCTGCCTATTCTTCTGCCTACTCTTCTCCTTCGTCATCTTCTTCTCCACCTCCTTCTCGTCGCCCCACCCCCTGTCACCAGACCGGCAGGGTGAGCCCGCTCACTCTGGCAGCCTGGAATGTTCGTTCCCTTTTAGACAATCCGAGGTGCTACGGACCGGAACGGAGGACGGCACTAGTGGCAAAAGAAATGGCGCGCTACAAGGTGGACATCGCCGCACTCAGCGAGACCCGATTCTCCGAACAAGGCCAACTGGAGGAGGTGGGTGCCGGCTACACCTTTTTCTGGAGCGGTCGACCCAGGACAGATCGACGGGACGCGGGTGTCGCCTTCGCCATTCGAAACGACATCGTGGGACGACTGCCCTGTTGGCCGCAGGGCATCAACGATCGCCTGATGTGCCTCCGTCTGCCTCTCTGGGGAGGCAAATTCGCCACCATCATCAGCGCCTACGCTCCGACGATGACCGACCCCGACGCAGTCAGAAACAAATTCTACGAGGACCTGCATGCCCTTTTGGCGACTGTGTCGAAGGCGGACAAGTTGATTGTCCTTGATGACTTTAACGCCCGCGTCGGCACAGACAATACTGCCTGGAGAAAAGTGCTGGGTCCCCACGGTCTCCGCGGCTCAACCGAGAATGGTCTGCTGCTGCTCCGCACCTGTGTAGAACACCGCCTCATCCTGACGAACACCTTCTTCTGTCTGCCGGAGCGAGAGAAGGCCACCTGGAGGCATCCTCGGTCGCGCCAGTGACACCTGCTGGACTATGTCCTCGTCCGGAGGCGAGATCAGCGAGACGTGCTGGTGACAAAGGCGATCGCGGGCGCTGACGGATGGACCGATCATCGCCTCGTCATCTCGAAGATGCGTATTCGCCTACAGCCTCGCAGGAGACCACAAGGTAAGCGACCCCCAGGTAAGCTGAATGTTGCTTTGTTGTCTTTGCCTGCTCACCGTCTCCATTTCAGCAATGAGCTAGCTCAACGGCTAGACAACCTTCCTATCGCTGCCGAGAACGCCTCCGTGGATAACCGCTGGTGTCAACTGCGTGACACGGTCCAGTCGACGGCGCTCGCCGTCCTCGGTCGCGATCCCCCCAACACTAGGACTGGTTCGACGACAACGACGCCGCCATCAGAAATCTGCTAGCTGAGAAGAACCGCCTACACAAAGCCTACGTAGATCACCACACTGATGCCACCAAAGCTGCCTTCTACCGCAGTCGCCGCCAACTTCAGCAACGACTGCGCGAGATGCAGGACGCCTGGACTGCTCGCAAAGCTGAGGAGATCCAAGGCTACGCGGACCACAACGAATGGAAGAACTTCTTCTCTGCGATCAAAGCTGTCTACGGTCCGCCGACGAAGGGCACTGCTCCTCTCCTCAGCGCCGACGGCAACACTCTCCTGACTGAGAAGACGCAAATCCTACAGCGATGGGCCGAGCACTTCCGAGGCGTCCTCAACCGCCCCTCCATCATCTCCGACGCCGCCATCGAGCGTTTGCCGCAAGTGGAGACCAACGTGAACCTCGACCTCCCGCCATCTCCCCAGGAGACCATCAGGGCCGTGCAGCAGCTCCCCAGCGGGAAAGCACCCGGATTGGACGCAATCCCTGCTGAGATCTACAAGCACGGAGGTCCCCAACTGATGGATCACCTGACTGCGCTCCTCCAAGAGATGGGGCGTCAAGGTGAAGTCCCGCAAGATTTCAAAGACGCAACCATCGTGCATCTCTACAAGCGCAAAGGGAATCGCCAAGTCTGCGACAATCACCGCGGCATCTCCCTGCTGAACATCGCCGGGAAGATCTTCGTCCGCATCCTTCTCAACCGCCTCAATAACCATCTGGAACAGGGCCTTCTGTCGGAAAGCCAATGCGGCTTCCGTCGTCATCGTGGGACCACGGATATGATCTTCGCCGCCTGTCAACTTCAGGAGAAGTGTCAGGAGACGCGGACCCACCTGTACTCTACCTTCGTGGACCTGACGAAAGCCTTCGACACGGTGAATCGTGAAGGACTGTGGAAGATCATGCAGAAATTCGGCTGTCCGGAGCGATTCACTCATATGGTGCGTCAGCTGAGCGACAGTATGATGGCGCGAGTCACGGACAACGGAGCTGTCTCAGAGGCATTCGCAGTGATCAATGGAGTGAAGCAGGGCTGCGTACTGGCGCCTACCCTCTTCAGTCTTATGTTCTCTGCCATGCTGTTGGACGCCTACCGCGACGAACGCCCCGGGATCCGCATCGCCTACAGGACGGACGGTCACCTCCTGAATCAACGGCGGATGCACTTCCAATCGCGCGTATCCACAACCACCGTTCACGAACTCCTCTTCGCCGACGACTGCGCCCTGAACACCACCTCGGAAGAGGAGATGCAACGCAGCATGGACCTGTTCTCCGCCGCCTGCGAGAACTTCGGTCTGGTCATTAACACGCAGAAGACGGTGGTGATGCACCAACCGCCACCTAACTTAGCCACAGCCCCCAACGCGCCGCCTCAAATCAGCGTGAACGGAACCAAACTGCAAGTGGTGGAGAACTTCCCATACCTGGGCAGTACTCTCTCCCGCAACACCAAGATCGACGACGAAGTCGCCAACAGGATCTCGAAAGCCAGTCAAGCCTTCGGTCGCCTCCAAAGCACAGTTTGGAATCGCCACGGTCTTCAGCTGAGCACGAAGCTGCAGATGTACGAGGTCGTCATCCTGCCGAAACTACTGTATGGAGCGGAGACTTGGAAGGTGTACGCAAAGCAGGCACGCCGTCTGAACCACTTCCACCTCAGTTGTCTTCGTCGCATCCTGCGGCTGAACTGGCAGGATCGCATCCCCGACACTGATGTGCTGGAACGAACGGGAATGCTCAGCATCTACTCCATGTTGAGACAAATGCAGCTGCGCTGGAGCGTCCACCTGGTGCGCATGGACGACGAGCGGCTACCCAAACGACTCTTCTACGGAGACGTCGCGACGGGTTCTCGTCGTCAAGGAGGCCCAATTCGTCGATACAAGGATACCCTGAAGTCCTCCCTGAAGCTACTGCAAATCAACCCGACCAACTGGGAAGAGCTCGCCTGCGATCGTCCGGCATGGAGGAGAACAGTGAAGACGGGCGCTGCGATCTACGAAGCCAACCGCATCGCTGCCGCCAAAGCGAAACGCGAAGCCCGCAAATCACAACTTCGCCCAGTACGCAACGACGCCTCAGAACCGCTTCCAACGTGTTCTCGATGTCAACGGACATTCCGGGCTCGAATCGGACTTGTTGGACATCTTCGAATTAACTGCGCCTCTCGAACTGCATCAACCATCGTCCCCCCGGCCGCCTCTTCCTCCTCCTCTCCGTCGCCAACTAACTCTGACAATTCTTCTGACCCACCACTTCCATCCTCCTCCTTCTCCTCCTCCTCCTCCTCCTCCTCCTCCTCCCCCTCCTCCCCCTCCTCGCCCACCGCTCCAACGACGGCCGCTCAGACGACTGTCCCGCGCGCAAAAACCGACACTACCACCGCCTTCCCCGACTCCAGCGATGAGGATCAGGACTACACCTGCCCTCACTGCGACCGCACCTTCACCTCACGCATCAGCCTGGTCGGTCACTTGAGAATCCATCGCACAGAGACTGGCGAACCAGTGCCTGGAGCACCCATCTATACCCACCTAGCTCGTCTCAACTGCCCACACTGCCCTCGCACTTTCAGGCATCGCATGGGCCTATTCGGCCACGCATCCACGACGACCTGCGGTAGACAACCGCCGGTCACACCACACATTCACTCACTCCCTACCTTCTCCACTACCACCATCACCCCACCAGAAATCAACACTCACACACCTCATGCACCCAACTGCCACCTCCCACGCAAGTGAGAAGTCCGCATCTCGACTAGGTCTCCATGCGGCTTCGGCTGCACGGGTGACTTGAGTCCGAGACTATCCCGACACGTCAAGCGTCGTGGATAGGAAGGTTGCTGATTGACGCCCGTTCTCGGTTCACGCAGTTCGTCGCGTTGTGTGTGTGTGTGTGTGTGTGTGTGTGTGTTGTGTGGAGTGGCAGACTGGTGGGCTGGGAGACGGGCTGAAACAGCACCTTCCACGGCACTCTCACGCCGTTCAACCCCCGTTGTGTGAAATCCTGGTGTTGTGTGTATGGGGGGCCAGGTCGTGCCGTGGCGCGCGCAGTCATGGTCAGTCGACCGTGACAGCCACCGCGCCCATTCCCCACTCCAGTCTACTGACCGGCTCGGACAGCGGCTGGGTTGTGGGAGTGGGAAGGGAGAGTGAGGTTGACGACTCAGCGCACTTCCTACTCACTATAAACAATCTGACGCGCTTGAAGCTATCACGGTGCGCTAAAAGCCGTGGCTTGGAAGGTTGTCAACTGACGGGATAACATGGACCTCCTCCTTGACTGGAGGCGGTCTGAGAGTCAGGCTGCAATGGCTCCTTTTTAATGTGGCCTTTATGGCACTCCCATCACAGTGTGGGATCCGAGCCAGGCGTTGGCGGCACGCCCAGGTGCGGCTCCAAATCTCTGTTGTGTTGGCTGAAATCCTGGTCATTTGTTTTGTGGACCAGGGGGTGTGGTGGAACGCCAAGGTGAGGATCCGTCCGAGCCATCCACCTGCGGCCTCCTTCGTCTCCGGTCTTCTTGACTCTGTCTTGACACCGGGCTCGGGCGAGGGAGGAGAGAGTGTAGGTAGATGCAGCGCAAGTCTACCGGCACTATAAACCCCTGCGTAAGTCACCGTCCCTGCTCCCATTGCTGCTGCAACTGTGGGGCACACGGTGGACATCATCGAAACCGATGGTCGAACTGTCATGGCTGTCCATTACAATCCCGAAAGGTGCCTTCTCCTGGTCAGGTATGCAACCTGAAAACACTTTAGTCTTCCCAGCGTTTATGGTTAAACCGACCGATTTAGCGACCTCGTTCACTCGTGACACCATAGACTGCAGATTACCAAAACTTGAAGCAATTATAGCAGTATCATCGGCATTGTCGGGATCAGTCAGTTGGGTGTAAAGTCAACACCGTCACTTCCCGAGAATCCAATGAATGGCGTGGTTGAAGAGAATGGGCGACAGGATACAACCCTGTCGAACGCCATACCGAATACAAAACAGTTGGCTAAATCGGAGGACAAAACACCAACCTGTAGGTAGAACTTTGACAGCGCGTCCTGACAGTTGGCTGGCCTTCTCTCCCGCAGTGCTTTGTACACCTGAACAGGACAGGGGCAGAGTGCAGAATCAGCATCTGACGGCGCCGGATCCGCACGAAGAAAGTAGACTCGCTGGCTGACGCGATTGTAGAAAGAGAGGTACTCCGTGCTCGTCTGTTCACACCTGCCCAGGCGAAAGTCACCCCAACGCAGAGCCAGATGCTCTGTACGATTCTCCACACAGAAGGCCAGACTGTTGATGAACCAGGCAGTGAAGTTGAGGGACCAGGGTTTGTGCAGAGAGAGGACACCGTGTCGTTGCAGATGGCTGACATAGTCGGGAAAGTTGGAACACTGCAGGGCCACCGTAGACTGGATTACCTGAAAGGAAAGTGGGCAAAAATGTATGAGGTCTGTGTCACCTATAAGCCGGTGGCTTTTATTGCAGACAGGTAACTTGGCGAATGTATTTGTGGACTAATTGGGTCTGATTTAAATGGACGAGGTAGATCGGAAATGTCTTTGAAAAATAAGAAACATATTCTTCCCAAAAGAAGGCAATCTTAGGGGACTCGTGCTCGAGTTCATCAGTAGAGAAAGAAACGATTATAAAGCTCACCGTCGGAAATGTATGTCAGATCACACTTTTCTGTCCTTCTTTCTTTTCCACTTGTGGTAACAATCGGGAGATGGCACCCAAAAAAACCCGCCTAACCAAAGCAGCCTGTCCTATGCGACAGGTAGTAATAGGGTTTTATGGGTGGTGGCTGGTCGAGATATACGGTACTAGCTGACGGAAAGCCTTATTAAAACAGGTGAATGATCGAAGTTGGCCCGCTCTCCGTTCCGTTATTACAAAATGGGTCGCCAAAGGCAGTATAATGGTGACGGACGAGTGGAAGGCGTATAATCGTCTTCCCTCAAAGGGTTATCTACATTTCTCTGTTAACCACTCAAAGAACTTCAAGGACCCTACCACCGGACAGCACACCAATGCCATTGAGGCATACTGGAGTAGACTGAAAAGGAAACTCTACGAGGGAGGCCCTGTATGTGGTCGAGCTCTGTGGGTTCACATAAACGAAGTACAGTATCATCTTAGGTTTGGCCTCAATACCATGTCTCTGACAGATGCCTGGGAACTGTTCATGTCCCATGTTGTGCAGAATTATCCTATTTAAAAGTGATTTTGTTTTGTAATAAACTGCCATAATGGGAATGTATGTCGTATATTCAGGTGTACATGTGTAACGATGGGGAAGGTTGGATAACAACGACCAGCATCCATGTAACCTCCTGCGATGTTCATTCGGCCAGCCTATGTTAGGCCGTCGCTGAAAGTCCAAGTAGTGCGTGAAAGTAGGCCTGCAACCGCTGATATAGCCTGAAGGCGTTTGAGTCCACTGTTAAAGGTATTATTTCTAGGTAACAGAGTTTTTGGGTGCCACCTCCCGATTGTTACCTCCACTTGTTATTCCTTTTCCGTCATCGTCATCATCATCTTGATCATCATTGTCACCATAATCATCTCCTTCCTATTTCACGTGTTCTTTTCTTTTTTTCAATTTCATTCATTTATTTCCACTGAGTACCATTCGCCTCATAGGAGGATGCGATCGCCAGGACAAGAGGTCTGTTAGCCTGTCGTTTCGGATTCCCACTCAAACCTACCACATCAAGGCCAGTCGCAGATAGAGGGTAGTGGAGGTACGAAGGGTGCAATATCTGTAAAATGCCGTTGCCATGCCATCACAGACCTACTACAATTAACAGCTTCGCGTTCATCGCTGTGGGTGTCGTATTCTATGCGATGATTGTTAGTCCGCATCCGAGCCATCATTTATCCAAAAATCGTCACCGTGGTTGGTTTTTTGGCCCGATAAGTACTCGGCAATTCGGTTCACTGCTAGTGGAACTGTCGGTCGCCGGCGCCCTTCCCGCATGGCCAATTATTCCACCCAGAAAAAGTCTCAGAAAAGAATATGGAGGCGAGATGTCATTACGCTCTCGTTGATCGACTGCGGCCTGGAGAGCCAAGACTTAAACAGCTTGCCGTTCGCGCGGTTTTCATCGCTTGCGAGAATTCCGGTCTCGTCAAACTTGGAGGTGTAGTAGGGTCCCGTGGAATGGGCCGCGACCTGCGATTTAGCGTCGTTCCTCCTACCTGCCACTGCTTGTTCAGCGATTCGCGTCCAGAATAATCTCCAGTTTCTTCGACGTAATTGTTTTGTCAACAACTGCACCATATCCGGCAAACAGTGTCTGTCATGGCAGTGGGCCTTTCAGCCTGATAGCTCATTTAGGATTAGGAATCGATGTAAGTAGGCATAGGATTTCGAAAGTGACCAATTAGCACCGGCTTATCCTGCGAACTTAGACGGTAGAGATTGGAGGTGAAACTGATCGATAATGGCATATTTTATCACCTCTGAGCAAGACTTTTATTTGCCCGAATCCTTGGATTTTCACTCGAACCCATCCAATAAGGATGTTGGACGCACAAGTTGTGTCGCCGTAATTATCAGTATAATTAATTACCATAATCATCAGCACCGATGGTTGTACTTGGTGCGATGATTCTCTACCGGTCCATATTTGAGTCATTAATTGCCACCACCTCCGTAATCGCAATTTCAACAACCCGTCACGAAACTGCGGCGATGAACGACTCCGATGTGGTCAAGCAAGCAATCAGCAGTGAATGAGAGAGTTGCTAATTGTACTTAGGCCTGTGTTTGCATGGCGACCGCATCCCACAAATGCTGCATCCCCTGCGCATCTGCTATTCTTATATGATGATGTCGTTGATAGTGCTCGAGTAAGAATCCGAAAATTCAGGTAAAGGGCAGCTTCGTTTTAACGACCGCATCCCCTTCTTAACTGCCTCCTGGGACTCGCCTTGATAGGGCACGGTTATAAGCACCCCTCATATTACAGGTGGTCTAGCGCTAAATTCCCGGGGGGGGGGTTGGGATATGGAGTGTTAAGGTTGGGAGCGTTAGGGTGGCTAGGATTAGGTTTAGGGTTAAAGGTAAGATTCCAATACTCCCGTAATTTGGTGCACGACTACCTGTAGTACAGGGGCCCTCATACGCGTGAGCGACCCCAGGATTTTTGTGAAGTTGCATTAGCAAATTGATAGGGATGACAGATAGGAAATAACGGCACGGGTTGGGGCAGGCAATGGCTAACCGCTCATGAAAATGTACCCATGATCAAAACGGCATGTACTATGTCAGTACAAACAATTTCGATTTAAATCTTCTGTGAAATTAACAATCAGTAATGCCGTAGAATGGCCACATGAATAAAGTTGAAGGCCAGGAGCTTGATTTAGGGTTATATTCAATGGTCATGCACCGCAAGTAGATACAAGCATAAACCGGCTGGCTGACCGGAAACGTAACTCTAATATAACATGTCTACCAAAAGCAAATAAGTAGACATGTCATAGGAATAAAAGCATAGTCTCAAAATTCAATCACAACACGTCTCCGAAACGGATCTGCGACATGATTACTGTGGTATTTCAGGTAGACCCACTACCAAAGTCGCTATCGTATAAACCTACTTGGGAAATTGTCTCTCTAACCGAAACCCATCAAAAATAGGCTCCAGTAAACTGATAAAGTTATTAATGGAAATATTGAATGAGTAAGACCTAAGTCACTGTGTGCTGGCATATATGGAAGTACGCCAGGGTAA